AGCAGTACATTAAATATTCTCATTGATTTGTTTGTTTTTACATTAGAAATTAAAGGCCATATGCATGCCTGAGTTTTTCTTATATTTGTAAAATCTGGCTATTTTTTTTCTTTATTTAAATTAAGGTAATTTCTTAACATCATTGAAATTAATTCAGACAAATCAGGCAGTTTCATGGCATATATATAATAGCAAGGGCTTGGATATAATCTATCTGTCTGTGATGAATGTCTCTGTACACCCATTGTGTTTTAGGAGGTATTATCTCCCGTTGGATAAATATTGCATGTTGTAAATAATTGTATGTTAACAAACAATTTTCTCTATGTAGAGAGATTCACAAATATTTTGAATTAGTTTTTACATCAAACATCCGGTAAAAATCTAAACTGATGGGATACTACCACTGTGGATCTCCTTTACTGTCATACAGAATGAGACTTGGTGATATTGTTTTAATTATGACTCGGGTGTGAAACATGGTTTTCAGGTAAAAAATTGATTACCGCTTTATCAGGTTTCTAAACAATGATCAAAATATTGAATGCTAGTCTTATGTAGACAAAACTGTACGCTCTCACTGTTTTCAAGGACATTTTACATTGTAAAGGCCATTTTGATTCACACGATATTTACAGGATTCCAGACACCTTACTTTGTAAAGATCATATCACACTGGGCTTAAGAACACCTGTATGTAACTGTCATTTTACAATGAATTCAAGGACACTTTTACATACACCATAAAGGTCAAATTCACCTTGGTTCAAAGTCATTTAACATCATAATGGTTTTCTTTATGAGATGAAGGACTATAGAATACCTGTAATGATTATGATACTACAGGTTCAAGGTCACTGTAATTGTGAAGGTCAAACCAGCCTGGTTTCAAGTGTAAGGAAATGTCAAACATCATACACTGATCTGTAAAAAATCTTCCAGCAGGATTTGTTTATTTATATCCTATTGTTAAGTTTATTCGTAGAACCTCTGGTTTTGTTGCACATGCAGTGTTTAATGTTCATGGTATGGATTTACCTTACGAGTCTAATATTATTTAAGGTAAAATATCATCCATAACAGACATCATGAAGGGAGATTGATCTGGAATCTTTATTCTATAGGGAAGAAAAATCTTGATTTTCCTTAATTAAGAATAAATGTATGTCCAAGGAGGAGAGGATCAGGTTAATGAACCTTTTTGTATACATAGAATGAACAGAGTTTAAAGCCCGTTAATAGTCGATAAGCAAGATTAACTGATTTTGATACCGTTTATTTTCCTTCATTTTTAAAATCTGATGCTGGTGAAAAGAAATTGAATTTATCTACTGTATATGTTAATTAATCTTTGGATTGAAGCACAGAAAGTTGTTGAGGGATTTAAGATTTTATCATTTTAACAGCTTCAACATTATAGTTATGTTTTTTAGATTATGTTTAGTTTAACCACTAGATCGTTCTGAACAATTTGTATTATTTCCTGGCAATTTTGTGTGACTATTGTAGATCTCTGGCAGATCAGGAGATCAAACTTGGCTTATTTTGTTTTATATCATACGAGTTTCCCCACAGGAAAAAAAAATTTTCTCTCTCTCTTTTATCTGTTTCTGTTAAAGGTCCCCCTCCTCCCTGCTTAATTGACATATTGCATGTGTAATGATTCCATGTAAATATAACAATTTGTTATTGTGTGTAGCAACTGTTAATGTTAATAGTTATGTTTAATGTTTCATTACACATTATATAAGTGTTAAATGTTACAGTGTAGCTTTAGGAGTGTTGATGTAATGCAAATTCATGTTAATACACAACAGTTACAGTATTAAACCTGTCTGTCAGTGTTTGTTACTCAAGACATACACAACTCTGTTCCTGTCTCGATGGCAGTGGTACCAAAGACTTGCTCCATTATTTCATTGTCTTCCTGACAGTGTCACTAAAACCTTACTCCATTATGTTATTGTCCAATGGAAGTTTGTTGCTCAAGATCTACTCAATTTTGTTACTGTCTCCCTGACAGTGTAACTTTTGACCAGCTCCATTCTGTTACTGCCACTTCGACAGTGTTACTTGTAACCTGCTACACTGTTACTGCCACTTCGACGGTGTTACTTGTAACCTGCTACACTCTATTACTGTCTCCCTGACAGTGTTACTTGTAACCTGCTAAATTCTGCTACTGTCTCCCTGACAGTGTTACTTGTGACCTGCTACATTCTGCTACTGTCTCCCTGACAGTGTTACTTGTGACCTGCTACATTCTGTTACTGTCTCCCTGACAGTGTTACTTGTAACCTGCAACATTCTGCTGTCTCCCTGACAGTGTTACTTGTAACCTGCTACATTCTGCTACTGTCTCCCTGACAGTGTTACTTGTAACCTGCTACATTCTGCTACTGTTTCCCTGACAGTGTTACTTGTAACCTGCTACATTCTGCTACTGTCTCCCTGACAGTGTTACTTGTGACCTGCTACATTCTGCTACTGTCTCCCTGACAGTGTTACTTGAAACCTGCTCCGTTCTCTTATCCCTGATGGTTTATGCAGTTACTTTGTTTTGTAATAATTGCCTATGTAATTTCCTAGCATCATTCAAGTCTTTTCTTTTCTTTCAAATAGATTTTTACTTTTTCATTTGATGTGATGTGACTCTATACAGAGACAAGTTTTTGACTTATCAGGTCCCCAAATCCACATTCCTACTGAACTACACCTGTGCTCATTGACAGTGTTTGTAAAAGTCAGATTAGCTTCTATTGTAAATGTTATTAACTATAACATCATCATTAAATGCTCTGTATTAAATTTTCACACTTGATAATAGCTTCAGTTCCAATATGTGAAGTATTTCTCATATTCAGCACACTGGTAGAATTGCATGTGAAATTTTACAACCTTAAAAATAAGAAATACTCTTTCTTTTTCTTCTTTTTCAATATTTCCTCAGTGGGAAGACTTAAAACATTTTGAAATTGAACAAGAAAGGCTATGTATTATACAATGTAATAGAGAATTTGAGAAATGACAATAATTTGCCTGTGTGTAATACTATTAATACACCTTGTGAAAAATGTCATTCCTACTGAACATTAACTCAATTTAAATACCGTCACATTTTGGTTTGTATGACATCACAGATTGCTTTGTACAACTTCACATGTTGTAATTTATGACATCGCACATGTTTACATCACATAGTTGTGTATTACATCACATGTTGAGTATGATGTCACTGTTTATTGTATATAACTTATACTGTGTACAACATCACACAACATGTTATTGTGTATTACACCACAATGTTGACATGTATAACATTAAGTAGTTGTGTACAAGATCACCTGGTGTGTATTACATTACATGTTGTGTATTACATCTCATGGTTGTGTATTACATCACATGGTGTGTATTACATTACATGTTGTGTATTACATCTCATGGTTGTGTATTACATTACATGTTGTGTATTACATCTCATGGTTGTGTATTACATCACATGTTGTGTATTACATCATGTTGTGTATTACATCACATGGTGTGTATTACATTACATGTTGTGTATTACATCTCATGGTTGTGTATTACATCACATGTTGTGTATTACATTACATGTTGTGTATTACATCTCATGGTTGTGTATTACATCTCATGGTTGTGTATTACATCACATGTTGTGTATTACATCACATGTTGTGTATTACATCATGTTGTGTATTACATCACATGGTGTGTATTACATCACATGTTGTGTATTACATCTCATGGTTGTGTATTACATCACATGTTGTGTATTACATCACTGATGTGTATTACATCACACGTTGTGTTCATTATAAGATGTAAGGTAGTACATAAATTAGTTGTGAACAAAACCATCCAATTTTATTATGAATTACATCATATGTTGTTGTACATTGTATTAATACCACAAATCCTCTCCACCTTACAAACCCAATGTTATACTGTACATGTATTTTGTGTGATGTTGTATGTTCCACAGATTTAGATTTGTACAGACTCACTTGACACCTAGATCAGCATCGCACTGGGTGGTTAATTGTAAACTAGCATTATCTGAGGTTCACAGACACCTGTTCCAATATTACTTAGTAAACTACACATTAGTCACCTATATTTAAGGCAATGACACAATGGTTACCCATAACAAATAAACCAGGACTTTATTTAAGATCTAAGACAACCATAATCTGGTTATGTACTTCACAAGTTATCTAACGATCAACAGTCCAAAGACTTCCTAGCAATACACTCAAGGCATTGCTGTATAATTGTCTTCAAACTGTCTGCAACTACATTTATTATTTTTATGTGTGGTTTTCAATATTTGTTATTGTTATTGATATTTATTCAGAAATAAAACATTTACTCCAGTGTTACTGTGGTTTTGTGTGATATATTTATGTTAAGGAACTTTTCAATCTACAGAAAGAAGTCAAACGAACATTTCTAACAAAATGCATTCATCATGTTTAATCTGTTGTCAATGCTTTTCCATATCACTGGATCCTCCCCCTACTTAATACATGTACAGAGTAACATGACGTGTAATGCAGACTGTTTAAACTCAGTCTGGAAGAAAATTTTTACAATAGATATTTCCTGCTGAAATAGGATACACTTGATATATTTCAAACGTTTATTTTTTTTATTGATTTTTTTTTTTTTTTATTATTTACTGTAATAGGTTAAAATATTTCAATTTCATAACTGATCACCAAATTAAAACTAAATTAACTTAAATTTACATTCTATTATCATGTATGATCATGCTGTTTATTGTGATAAGAGTCACTTCTCTGTAAATCACCTCATAACAGTGGCACTCTTCTTCAAAAGAAGGAAGCCTCATTACAAATCAGGGACAAATATCTAACGAGTTCCACTCTTCCTTTAGATTGGGGATTAAATAAGGTTCCTTCAGGATTTCTTCTTAACCTGCCAGCTGTTTCTTGTATCAAAACATAACTCAAACTCTGTTTTAAAGGTTACGTATATATTCAAATAAAACAATGTACATAAAATTGTGAAATTCGTTATAAAAAAACCTGTGTTAGGGAGCATATCGGAATCTTTTTTTATCGGCATGCATTCTCTTCTTTCTTAGCACTTCTTTCTGGAACTTTACTTTCCTAAAAAAACAAAATATAACTTTAAACTTACAGTTTCATATAGATATTCAATAACAGACATAATCAATGGTTTACAGAAACACAAGCAGAGGATATCAAAAACCATAAAACACAAGAACAATGTGTGTACTCTTACAAGGAGGTTTTGGTCCTGAAAATACTGTAATTAACAAAGATTCTGAGAAAACTAATTAATCCTCAAAATTTTATCAATTTATCTTTGTATTCTTCTTACTTCAATGACAAGAAAAAACAGCCTGAAAGATTTTATTTGATTTCAACAAAATTTGGCATGAATTTATGATGATGTGAATCCTTGACTTTGAGAACCACTTCCCTTGATTTCAAGGACCTAAAAATGAATATTTCAGTTTGCTTCCTGATCTTTGGGGAGGAAAATGGCTATTTAGGTGGAAAAATAAACAAAACAAAAAAGTATAGTAACCATCTCTTTCGAATCATCACAAATATCCTTAAATATTTTGAATTTTTCTCTATCGTATAAAAATTTTAATTTTGAAACATGGCCAAATAAAGAATTAAATCAAATGAAAATTTTATAAACCTAGTATTTTAATTTTTTTCTTATTATCCAGGTAACATTCTCTAACGTTTAAATGCAGAGATTCACTACAAAAATAAACTTCTTTTATTCATCTTAATATAACAATTCTATTTATTTTGAAACAATTGTGATACAAGTTATTTCAGCTGATACTAATCAATCTTGTTAGCCCAGATGTAAGTGTGTTAGGTGTCTTATTGTGGGAGGAAACGAAATACCCACATGGTCAGGCAGGTGACCCTTTACCATTTCATGTCTGTTCCAGGATTTGAACCCTGTACAGCTAAATAAAAAAAAACAAGTGTGTTACCACTGTGCCACCCAGCAATCCAAATCATTGATCTTGCTTAATGGGCCAAAAGAGTTCAAAGTTTATTGCACAGGAAGTGGGGGTCTTAATATAGGAGGAGACCTGAGTACCGAGACTAAACTAACATGGTTGGCAGGTGACACTGTATCACTTCATCTCCAATTGTTGAAAATTGGGAAACGGAGGTTAAGGTATAGCACAGAACACTAAGTTTGTTTTTTTTTTTATAATAACAGTAACACCCCCAACCTTTGATATAAAAAACAATCCCAGTCATGTTCTCTCTGTAAAGAAGCACTTTCTTTGGTTTATAGGGCCAGAGAGAACTGAAGATATCGCAAGGAAACCTTTGATTAGACAAAGCAAGTGGGGATGCAGATGTGATATTGATTTGGGCCAATTTGGTAGGGACAAACTTAGCAGACCAGTACCTGAGAATGCTACCTAGTATAGATAATTCTGTAGGTCCCATAGCAGACCAGTACCTGAGAATGCTACCTAGTATAGATAATTCTGTAGGTCCCATAGCAGACCAGTACCTGAGAATGCTACCTAGTATAGATAATTCTGTAGGTCCCATAGCAGACCAGTACCTGAGAATGCTACCTAGTATAGATAATTCTGTAGGTCCCATAGCAGACCAGTACCTGAGAATGCTACCTAGTATAGATAATTCTGTAGGTCCCATAGCAGACCAGTACCTGAGAATGCTACCTAGTATAGATAATTCTGTAGGTCCCATAGCAGACCAGTACCTGAGAATGCTACCTAGTATAGATAATTCTGTAGGTCCCATAGCTCTTCACAGACAATATGTTTCAGGTTGGCAAAATCAAAAAAAAAAAGTAACAATTTGACCAATGTACAGACATGAAATGATACTCTTCACAGACAATATGTTTCAGGTTGGCAAAATCAAAAAAAAAAAGTAACAATTTGACCAATGTACAGACATGAAATGATACCATTGAAAACGTCTGGGTTATGATACTGAGTACCTACCCCTTGGCAATGCGAGCTAAATCCTCTGGTGAATGCTCCTTTGGTTTGACTGTACTTTTGAAGATCATACTGCGTATTTGATCCAAGCAATCTGCTTTGTTCATTATCTGTTTACGTGTTTTCTCTGAGGATATCCGTAAATACCCTTCCTTATCTATATGATGTTTTTGCTGGTGATAAAAAGAAAAGCAAGTCTTATTAATAAGATGTGCCGTATAATATATACAGCATCTATTTTCTTTTTTCATTTCATAAATAAGAGACAAGGTTTCCTGATAACTTATCCCGCACAGAAAAGTTGTTCACTCACATGTACCTGTACTTTCATGTTTACTTCATCACACCCCGGAGAACTCATTGTTTAGGACATACTTAAGTACTGTGGTAGGGTCATTTCACTGATGTTACACTTACATAAAAATGCATGAGCAAGACCATGTAATGTTACCTTCTGATAATTGAAAGTGATAGATAAACAGCACCTTTCAATTTTAAAATTAGACAGAGTAGAATGAATTAATCTGCTTCATTCAGATTTTGTCCTTCAACTCATCAGTGATGTGAGGAGCTGAGATAGCTCTGTCAGTTAGAGCAATGACCTATGTAACCTCAGGTGAGGATCTGAGGTGTGTGTTTTGACACTCCTAATCTTTGACAATTTGTGTTTTGCTGGAAGCTGAGAAATGAACTATCTGTGCCGTTGTGGTTGTTTCCTTTAGCACTTTGCACTAGTTGGATGGCATGTGACAGACCTTCAATATGTTGTTCAGTAAGATAGTCACCATTTGGTAGAAAACGATCCTAGTTGTTCATTTAACATAACCCAACAGACAAATAAACAAATTATCAGTGAATTTAAGAGCCTAAATTTTGAAACCTAGGAAAATATCAAACTTGATCTGAAGAATTGTCAAAATCTAAATGGATAAGTCCACTATACTACTAGATAGTGGCCACAGGTGTAAAATGTCTCACTTCAGCAATCCTTGAATCATTTAGTAACTATCTGAAAATCGATAGTATCTACTATTTCAACTTAATATATAAAATGTTTTACTGGTGAATAAATGCCTGTTCCAAAAGTTATCTCCCTTTGATAAGACACACTACATAGATTATAATATGTTGGTCTCAGAAAAAAACTATAACAAGAGGCCCATGGGCCTTAACGGTCATCTGACAAAAAGCAAGCCAAACCTAGAAAGTGGGTTGAGGTCATTCATTTGAACAAACTTGGTAGCCTCTCCTCCAAGCATCTTACAGGCCCAATATCAGCACTCATAGACTTTTGCTTATTGAGATGAAGTCCTTTGTATATTTTAACATATTTGACCCCTGTGACCTTGAAAGTGGGCCAAGGTCATTCATTTGAACAAACTTTGTAGGGCTCCATGCCAGCATGCTATGGGCCAAGTATTAGCCCCCTAGGCCTTCTAGTATTTGAGAAGAAGTTATTTAAAGATTTTGACATATTTGACCCCTGCAACCTTGAAAGTTGTTCAAGGTCATTCATTTAAATAAACTTGGTAGCCTTTCCTCCCAGCATGCTACAGACCCAATATCGGCACTCATAGACTTTTGCTTATTGAGATGAAGTCCTTTGTATATTTTAACATATTTGACCCCTGTGACCTTGAAAGTGGGTCAAGGTCATTCATTTGAACAAACTTTGTAGGGCTCCATGCCAGCATGCTATGGGCCAAGTATTAGCCCCCTAGGCCTTCTAGTATTTGAGAAGAAGTTATTTAAAGATTTTGACATATTTGACCCCTGTGACCTTGAAAGTTGTTCAAGGTCATTCATTTAAACAAACTTGATAGCCCTTCATCCCAGCATGCCACAGGCACAATATCAGCAATCTGAGCCTTTTGGTTATTGAGAAGAAGTTGTTTAAAGATTTTAACATATTTGACCCCTGTGACCTTTAAAGTGGGTCAAGGTCATTCATTTGAACAAACTTGGTAGTCCTTCATCCCAGCATGTCACAGGCCCAATATCTACACTCTGAGCCTTTTGGTTAATGAGAAGAAGTTGTTTAAAGATTTTAACATATTTGACCCCTGTGACCTTGAAAGTGGGTTGAGGTCATTCATTTGAATAAACTTGGTAGCCTTTCCTCCCAGCATGCTACAGACCCAATATCGGCACTCATAGACTTTTGCTTATTGAGATGAAGTCCTTTGTATATTTTAACATATTTGACCCCTGTGACCTTGAAAGTGGCCCAAGGTCATTCATTTGAACAAACTTTGTAGGGCTCCATGCCAGCATGCTATGGGCCAAGTATTAGCCCCCTAGGCCTTCTAGTATTTGAGAAGAAGTTATTTAAAAATTTTGACATATTTGACCCCTGTGACCTTGAAAGTTGTTCAAGGTCATTCATTTAAACAAACTTGATAGCCCTTCATCCCAGCATGCCACAGGCACAATATCAGCAATCTGAGCCTTTTGGTTATTGAGAAGAAGTTGTTTAAAGATTTTAACATATTTGACCCCTGTGACCTTTAAAGTGGGTCAAGGTCATTCATTTGAACAAACTTGGTAGTCCTTCATCCCAGCATGTCACAGGCCCAATATCTACACTCTGAGCCTTTTGGTTAATGAGAAGAAGTTGTTTAAAGATTTTAACATATTTGACCCCTGTGACCTTGAAAGTGGGTTGAGGTCATTCATTTGAATAAACTTGGTAGCCTTTCCTCCCAGCATGCTACAGACCCAATATCGGCACTCATAGACTTTTGCTTATTGAGATGAAGTCCTTTGTATATTTTAACATATTTGACCCCTGTGACCTTGAAAGTGGGCCAAGGTCATTCATTTGAACAAACTTTGTAGGGCTCCATGCCAGCATGCTATGGGCCAAGTATTAGCCCCCTAGGCCTTCTAGTATTTGAGAAGAAGTTATTTAAAAATTTTGACATATTTGACCCCTGTGACCTTGAAAGTTGTTCAAGGTCATTCATTTAAACAAACTTGATAGCCCTTCATCCCAGCATGCCACAGGCACAATATCAGCAATCTGAGCCTTTTGGTTATTGAGAAGAAGTTGTTTAAAGATTTTAACATATTTGACCCCTGTGACCTTTAAAGTGGGTCAAGGTCATTCATTTGAACAAACTTGGTAGAGCTCCATGCCAGTATCCTCTGTGCCAAGTATTAGCCCCCTAGACCTTCTAGTATTTGAGAAGAAGTCGTTTGAATGAAAAGTTTACGGACGGCGCACGGCGGACGACGACGGACGAAGCATGATGACTATAGGTCATCGGACCCTTCGGGTCAGATGACCTAATAAAAATCTGCATCACTATATTTTTACCTCTTTGATGCAACTGTATAAAATATGCTAAGATTTATTACTTTCTGTCATTGCTATTGTCACAAAAAAAAGATTTGCACAGAAGAAAAAAAAAGTTTATTTGTTTCACCTGCTCCTGAACTTTTTCTTTGATCCAATCAGGTATCCACGTTGCAGATTCAAGATGGAACTTTGCATTAACCTTTGAGCTTACTGCAAAATAAAAACAGTTTAAAAAATATCTTAAATGTACATGCCTGTTCTTAACTCAAGGTTAGCAAAGTAGAAGTGATTCCTGATGGTAAAATGGCACTGCTCTTATCACCAAACTATCACATAAAACTTTCAGCTATATAAGTTCTACTGTAAATCAGAATAGTTTGGTTGTAGTTATAATTTGGTTTATTTGATGCCTGGCATTAAAAAGCCAAACGTTAGCATACAAAGTTATATCAAAATAATATTCTACACAACCACTTTCCAGCTCAATAATTACCGGGGTAAGCGGTGTAGTATTATTTGATGGTATAAACAGAAGATCTTTGATGCATGTTCTGGCAAAGTGTCATCAAAAGTAAAGTGCATCATGATCTTTCTAATAAATATATCTTAAACTGGGGTGTGTACAACATGGGATCTGTTGCATATGCTAAGTTTATTCACATACACTTACCTTTTCCAGAAAATATAATAGATAAGTTCTGTCATTTTCTTTTCAGACCTATCATCAGAATGAAAACTTCAGCTAAAAAGCAATCTGAATCCTACAACACTGACAGTTGAAAAGTATTCTAAATTGTATATCATCTAATGACCAGAGCGCAAAAAAAGCAAAAAAAAAAAAAAAAACACTTTTTTTTGTGCAGTATCACAACATGTTTTCGTTTCATCCTTGAATGAGGTAAGGAAACTTGGTAAGCAAAAAAGAAGATTTTTAATTACAATATATTTTAACATAGATATAGAAAAATATCACTAGTTCAGAGTCTCACCTTTATTTACATTCTGGCCACCAGCTCCGCTACTTCTGGTGTAGGTAAAGTCTATTTTATCTGTAAAAAGAGAATACATATCAGCAATTATTGTATAAACTTGGGTTATATAATTTACCAGTAAGAAAGAACGAAAAAGCAAACTTCACAGGAGATCTGATGAGGGATAAAATTGTGAACAGCATTGATTTTTGGGACTCAGATATTTGAGTCCTGAACTCGTGTTTTTCCTGTGGGACTCTATCAAATTTTGTTAACCCACTATATATTTGAGTATTTGAACTCATCAAAATTTTGGAATTTAAGTGTTCTGGACTCATCTAAAAAATACAAAAAATACAATATTATCTACAGGACAAAAAAAAACCAATATAATGATAGATGCGCGACTAAATATAATAAATCTTTACAAAATTAGAAACAACAGTTACCACAACGCAACCAAGAATTCTGGATTGATCTGTCAGCTTATTGTTTTATGTACATGACATAATAGTACTAGTAATAGAGAAATGTTATAATAGTATTATTTTTCCCTTATTTCACAAAACCTTTTCTCCTCCTTTTTATTACAGTTGGTACCTGACCTTAAAGTTAATCATTCATATCTGGTTCCATCTTAATTGTCCTTGAGATTGCCTTCTGTTGTTTACAGTTGCATCAACTCAATTAGAAATAGCCTTCCAGATTTATCATTTAGAGAAAAAATTGTGAATAAAAAAACCTGGTAACTGCATTTATACAGCCTGATTTCTATAAAGTATACATCCACAGACTTTAAAAGGGCAAGCATTTATTATTTTCATATCACATACCTGTTGGAATAAATCCTGAAAATGGTTCTTCCTGTTGGCCATCATTTGTATAGCTGTGCTGTATGAGCCAAAAAGTTTGAAAAGTTGAAAACATTTAATTAATTTCACAATTTATAAAATAGGTAACAGGGATGACAAGTGATTCCAGTTGAAAAATGAAAATGTGATGGTGCTCCTACATAAGAGACTGCTGCTTGACTGATTCATTATCGTTAGTTATTGAGCTTTACAAGGTGGCCTTCAAAATTTTCTCATCATGCAAAACCTCAAAAAAAAATCAAAATATCACGTTATACATGGGACATATTTCATATAAACATGTTTTAGGAAATGACAGTGGGAAAAGTTTGTGGAAATTCATTACACTTATCTCCTTTTCCCAATCCATTTCAGACAATTTATGGCAAATTGGATAGATCGTGAGACGTTAAAAATGACTGTAAATATAAACCTTTATCGTTTTTACTTCAAAGGCTGAGCTGATCTTGGCGTTACGATACAGATTTTCTGGATTCAATTTACTCTTATACCCATCAGTCCTCAATATCTGTACAACATTTAAGTTTTTCGTAACAAGTGAACTTTTTGCATTTAAAGCAAGCCGCACGCATCGACAGAACATCGTGTCGAATTATATTCGTCTCTTTCCTAGTCCTCATGAACAGTCGGCAAAGTCGCCGGAAGTTTAATAAAAATAGCAACAAGCAGAAACGACGAACGCAAATATTTTCCGGAAAAATGGTAATTTAGATATTGATAAGAGAAATAACAATCCAACATATCAAAGGTAGTTAATTGTTGATATTAGAAAGACAAGAATTTTATAACAAATATGTTTAGAAAGATAGTAGCCGCAGTAAGCACTAAACATGAGTGGAATGTAGACTAAGACTTACTCGAAGTAGGATATCTATCAAAGTATCTGCATTTTATTATGACAGTTTCACTTAATTACTTGGAAAAAAAAATATTTAAAAATTGGTTGCATCCAAAGACGTATATAACGTTACTTGAGTCTGTTGTTTCAACAGAGAGTCGAACCACTTAATTAACGATTATGTGAGTTATCTCTCTTGGACTGTTTTTTCACTAATAATTGCAGTTGCTAAATGAGCATTTTATGTCCCTGCCACGTCGCCAGAACAAAAAGTTTCATTTTTGCTATCGCTGCCTGTAGCCCACACGAAACTGTGTCGTCCTAAATTCTCATTGTAATTGTAAAAGACCTTTTTTTACATTTTTTTTCGGAAAGTGATCTTATTACGTCAACGCTGAAGTAAATTATTCTGTTAGTCAAAGCCTCGTCAATGTTACCTGTTATTAAAGGTAAAAGCTTGATTTACTGACAATGTTCAGCAATTTGATGTTGTTGGATTGATATAGAAGTAACTTCACAGTTTGCGATTTAAGAAGAAAACGTTATTATGTAGTTGTGTGCATTCTCTCGTTTCTGTATACTGTCATTATTTATCTATCAATCACTTATTATAAAATCAATTATCTATTTCTATCAAATAATGATAACGAAGTTGACTTTTCTTCATGAGGGAGTTACAATATGATTGTAATAAGCTTTTTTGTTATCATGCGCAAGATAAAGAAAATATCAAGTATATAATAGGAGTTAAAGTTCCACAGAAAAGAAAATAGAATTGAAAATATATATATGAAAAAAATAGTCAGTGGCAGCGGTGGGATTCGAACCCACGCCTCCGAAGAGACTGGTGCCTTAAACCAGCGCCTTAGACCGCTCGGCCACGCTACCTTCATAACGCTCTCAACGGAAAATTTTGAACAGTTTCAAGTACAGTGGTAAGAACAAGATTTTCGTTTTTCAAATTATTTTCATATTATTCAAATACATCTGTATTAGTATTTTATCATTCTCATACAGTATCGGTTTTTGGTAGCCATTCTGTCAACAATCTAACGTTGGTCGCAAGTCTTTCACTAACGTACCTGTCCATAGGGGGCAGCACAATCTGTTATCCTAATTTACAACGGAAGTACCCGAACCTTTCTACCTGTGTGTACCGCCGACTGGTGATTTCTACAATGACATATCGGCATTGTCAAACTGGAGGAAACCTGTGATAATTACAACGTAATCATGTATCAATCCACATAGTGTTTACAAGCGGGAAACTGTGCAGCGCTGAGATAATATTAAGCAGACGTCTGACCCATTTCTGTGTATTATGCAGACAGCAATGAAACCGGACATATCCGTTTACGATTTCGTCTATAGTCAAACACAAGATTCCACACAAAATGTCGGAATGAATACCGACATCTACCCGGGATTTATATTGGATATTTTTACACAAAAAATTGATGTTGATACTCAGATTATTTCTTTGTGAATCTGGGCGTTGTTGAGTGGATCATTTGATGAATCGGTATTTCGTAGTTTGACAGGTATGTGAACGATACTAAGTGATCTCCTTCCCGTGTCACGTTGACACCTGATCATCTGTTTTGGGATCCTGAGCAGCCCCTTAGGACATGGGAGGTTCAGTCTCCGTACAGCTCGTGATGCTGGGGCTGGACTTGTCGGGCAAAACGACGTTATTGTACAGACTTAAATTTGACCAATACATGAATGTTAATTCTACCATAGGATTTAACTGTGAGAAAATTAAAGGTAAGACAGGAAAAACAAAAGGAATCAATTTCACAATTTGGGATGTAGGTGGTCAAGACAAGACCCGCCCTTTATGGAGATCCTATATGCGGTCATCCGAGGGCATCATATTTGTTGTTGACAGTGTGGACAAAGAAAGACTTGAAGAGGCCAAGTTGGAGTTAATTAAACTGTTAAAAAGTTCAGAAAATCCAGGTTTACCTGTGTTAGTCATTGCCAATAAACAGGACTTACCTGGGTCACTGGACTTGGCAGAGGTGGAAAAACACCTTGGTCTACATGAACTGCCTCCGAGTCAGGTATGGGCCTCGCATCCTGCATGTGCAATCACAGGAGAGGGACTTAATGAGTGCATGGACTCCATGTATGAACTTATTGAAAAACGGAAAAAGACAAAAAAGAAAAAGTGAATTGACATTGTTGCATATTTAACTATATCTGTTATTACTCTGAGATTGCCAGTAATATGTGCTAATTTCTCCTACAAGCGATTGTCATATCAAAGACCTCTAGATGGTCTGTGGTAGTTTACTAGTCGAAAAATGTCTAACTTTGGTCTACATTTTACACAATAGTGAGACATTTTTAGACTAACATTGTGAATAAGTACACCATTTAAAATGGCATGCTGATTTTTTTATTGTTTTAAACCCAAAGTCCCTACATTTTATTTTTAGATTTTAACAATATTTAACTATGCTGAAGTTGTATGTGCTGTGTGTGAAGTGTCTGTGATCTGGGGTCGGGATCAGTATCATAATCATTCCTCAAAAGGAGAGGAAATATTTCTAACATGACCTCTATATCTCTAACAAGATTTACACATTTACTGGTGTATTTCAAAGAAAAAACATAATGCCATTCAAATTTGTGACGGTGAAATTGCTGATATTTTTTATTAATTTGATGATTGTTCAACACATCAGAATTTTTTCCACCAGGTATCATTTTCCTGTTTTATAAAAGAGTAGTATCACAAAGTGACTCTTGGTATATAATAACATTTTAAGTTGCATTTTCAAAGAAAGACTTGCTGTATATTGGAACAGCATACAAACAACAAATTATATTTGACATTTAATAAATCTGAATCTATGGACTTGTCCAAGTCTAAAAAAAAAAACAAAGAGCCTTATATGCTTCTGAATCCATGTCCTGTCTGACTCAAGCTGCAATACTAGATAACATACCAGTGTTTTAGTGCTGTGTAAAGCAGAACTACTAGAGGGAAGTAAACGTGCCAGGAAAACAGCACTTAAAAACATCATATCTGCTTATATTTGATTACATTAACTGTTTAATGGTATGCCTGCTTGAAATTAATATTATGTTGGTTGTTTGACACACTTAGATCTGTATTTAAGTATGTAGTTGTTTTGAAAGTTGTATTGGTAATAACCTACTCAAATGTCATTGAGTAAATATTATGATTTATTTTGATTAAGTGTATTCTGAAAATTCATACAATTACCCTGAAAAACTCAAAAGGAAAATGTTCCTTATCGCATACAGGCAGTGATGTTGTTATTGCAGAGTATTTAGGGTCCCAGCAAGATTTCTTGACTCCTTGTCCCCCTTGAACTTTTACTACTGAAAAAACAGTATTAATTATTGCTAAGTTATGTGGGTCTATTTTGACTTCAACTTTTATCAATTACTTTCAAAATATTACACATAAATAGTAGTCTGTCACCATCACTGAGATTAACTTCAATCTTTAGGTATATGAACAATATTGTGGTTACAACTGAAAGTTTTACAATTAGATTTTAATCATATATGTGTACCTACATACAGAAATAGTGATTTTGAGTGAAATGATTTTAAATATATATACCGTTTGTTTTCCTTGAATAATATTTTAACAAGATTGCTTATTAAGATTAATTAATATATTCATCAATCTACACCAACTGTGAGACTACATGACATTTTCATTAATTTTAACGAAATGATTCTGTATGAGTGATTTAAGTATGTCACAAATATTTTTACTGTTGGTCATTAAAGACAAAATTCTCATTTTCATTTTACAAATCAGTGATGACACAAGTTTGACAATTAGAGTTGGGAATTTTAACATAATAATGCTCATCAATACTGATTCCTTGTGTGGATTAAAAGTGCATTCTGAGAGAGAGGTCAGTTAAGGAAGTGATGAAGAAAGTATGAATGTGACTGTGTCAGAGTGCTTCTTTATACATTACAATTGTTTATTTCAGATATTGTATGATATTGTCTTCCGATTAGGAATTCCTCCAGGTTTGAAGCCGATAAAATATAGATCTGCAATACCTCATGTAAAAAGATCTTGTTTTGTCTAGATTGAAAATGTTCTAATTGTGATCATAATGCTTGGCTGCATATATATACTCAACCCTTTGTAGTTGAAAAGTTGTAGTGATGACTTCACTAGCAAGTAATTCTGTGTAGCTAACCTCATACAAATATATTGTTACTATTTAATCATGTTACAATATTAATTGAAAGTAAAATAATATAATCTACACTTGTTTTTCTTTATCTTTTTTTTCAAGCGCTATGACGGGCATTTTGTTTTGGTATCAACTAAATTGTACACCCATTTGCCTCTGGGAAGTCACATTTGTCCTGGTTCCCCTGCTTGCCCTCAAGGACCTTATAATAAAACTTCTAAATACTTGAACCAGAAACCTACTTGTAAATAGATGTTACTTAATAGCACCGGGCTATGGCTGAGCATTGAAGTATTGAATTAATTGAATTGGTATCAACCAGTCACATTTTTTCCAGCCCAGCCTTTTAGCCACTGCCATCACGTTGCAGATTAGCAGGTTTTTATTATGTAAATGTCACTACTGTATAGAATATGAACATTATTCAATATTTATGTAGTGCTTTTGCTTATACAGTGATAATGAGACTTTCCTATCGTTTCACTTTTAACAAAAACAGTAATATGATCCATGTTTATGCAAACTTGGTTTAGAAATATGAGAAGTTGTGATATGTAACAACAACTCTTGAGTACCTACCAAATTCTCTCATCTGAAATGTCATAATGAACAACGTTTGAGTAAGGCAGAACACTTGTTGATAAATTTAGTGTATATGTGAACAAAATGTAGAAATTTCTAATAAGTCTTGTCAAATAACCTCTCCTCTAGAATGGAAAGCCTGGTTTAGACTGACTTATGTGTATCAACAACAAGAAAACCAAGGTAAACTACCTAATAGTCAATACCGAATAACTCTCTAGGTCTTTGCTTGTATGCCCCTTCAATGATTTTGAAAGACATTGAATGAATTAAAAATCAATGACAAAATTCAGGATTGATACTAAAGGTTGTTAAAACTTGGTTTTCACTGAGACGGTGTATGATATAAAGACTTGGTACCCAGCGCATATGTAATTGTAACATACTCGTGTATTCCGTTGATATTTTGCAAACGAGACCTAGAAAAAAGTGAGAAATATTGACAACAATAAATTGTTACAGGAGATGAAACCACGACGAATGATATTACGAGATGACGCGTAACAGGAGTGGAACGTTATCGTGTCAAGGAATCTCTTCTTAGTCAGTTGCTGCCCAGGGGGCACGGGTCGGCGTTTACTATCTCGGTTAGGACAGACGTGACACGTGCAAGTCATCTATGGTGCCGATATCACCATGTAACGAGCAGAACATCGCTAGCACATGGCCCTAGACTAATTAATTAATTGCTGTTCTGAAACTACTAGCAATTAACCATAACATTCATTTTGTCTGGCTACAAATATTTGTTACTTTCAGTGTTATATAATATACCACCATGTAATGTGGTCAACCAGAGACGTTTATATCACATATACGTCTCAGGGTCAACACAGCAGAATTGCATAGCATTATGTTTCGTTGTTAGTTTCTGTACCCCCTGTGAGTTAATTTTTTTTATATCGTGATTTAAAGAACCGATTTTCAGTAAACTTACTGCAGGGTATTGTCGGGAACCTAGTGTTTTGCGGGTTTCCGACGACTAGAACAGCGGCAAAGGAACTATCTTGTTATACCAAAAGCAAAATGTGGTGCCTTTCTGGTGTCATTGACGACGCAATGACAACAACATAGTTTGCAGGGCAACTGATTAAGTTGATGGTTTTATTTACCTTTTGCAAATACATACATAATGTAACACAACATGTAGATGTTCCTTTCTCAGCCAAAACACGTAAGGGATATCAGCAACGGTAGCACATCTACAACAACGGTAGCACATATACAACCGGTATAAATAATAGCAAGGCCGTTTACGTTATGCGAAGATATTAATAATAAACACGTACCGTGATAAACAAGCAGCACCTAGAGATTATGCAACACGACTGTGAATATAATGTATTACACCACTTAAACACTTATCGTGTGAAACAAAATCACGTAATTAATATCGAGTTATGTAATATAACACCACGTAATTAATATCGAGTTATGTAATATAACACAACGTAATTAATATCGAGTTATGTAATATAACACAACGTAATTAATATCGAGTTATGTAATATAACACCACGTAATTAATATCGAGTTATGTAATATAACACAACGTAATTAATATCGAGTTATGTAATAACACCACGTAAATACATATCCATTATGTAATATAACACAACGTAATTAATATCGAGTTATGTAATATAACACCGCGTAAATATGTATCGAGTTATGTTATATAACACCACGTAATTAATATCGAGTTATATAACATAACAAAACGTTTGTGCATATCGCGTTACGTGATTTAAAACACACATACATATATTACTTTATGGTTTTAATGCAATGCCGGAGACTTGATTTTTATAATTTTAAAGTAATTTTTTTCTGTAATATAACACAACGTAATTAATATCGAGTTATGTAATGTAATATCGAGTTATGTAATAACACCACGTAAATACATATCGAGTTATGTAATATAACACCACGTAAATAATATCGAGTTATGTAATAACACCACGTAATTAATATCGAGTTATGTAATACAACACCACGTAAATACATATCGAGTTATGTAATATAACACCACGTAAATACATATCGAGTTATGTAATAACACCACGTAAATACATATCGAGTTATGTAATATAACACCACGTAAATACATATCGAGTTATGTAATACAACAGCACGTAAATACATATCGAGTTATGTAATATAACACCACGTAAATACATATCGAGTTATGTAATATAACACCACGTAAATACATATCGAGTTATGTAATACAACACCACGTAAATAATATCGAGTTATGTAAATAACACACGTAATTAATATCGAGTTATGTAATAACACCACGTAATTAATATCGAGTTATGTAATAACAGTTATATAACACAACGTAATTAATATCGAGTTATGTAATATAACAGCACGTAAATACATATCGAGTTATGTAATACAACACCACGTAAATACATATCGAGTTATGTAATATAACACAACGTAATTAATATCGAGTTATGTAATATAACAGCACGTAAATACATATCGAGTTATGTAATATAACACCACGTAATTAATATCGAGTTATGTAATAACACCACGTAAATACATATCGAGTTATGTAATAACACCACGTAAATACATATCGAGTTATGTAATATAACACCACGTAAATACATATCGAGTTATGTAATATAACACCACGTAATTAATATCGAGTTATGTAATAACACCACGTAAATACATATCGAGTTATGTAATATAACACCACGTAATTAATATCGAGTTATGTAATAACACCACGTAATTAATATCGAGTTATGTAATACAACACCACGTAAATACATATCGAGTTATGTAATATAAAACAACGTAATTATTATCGAGTTATGTAATAACACCACGTAATTAATATCGAGTTATGTAATAACACCACGTAATTAATATCGAGTTATGTAATAACACCACGTAATTAATATCGAGTTATGTAATATAACACAACGTAATTAATATCGAGTTATGTAATAACAGCACGTAATTAATATCGAGTTATGTAATAACACCACGTAATTAATATCGAGTTATGTAATAACACCACGTAATCAATATCGAGTTATGTAATATAACACAACGTAATTAATATCGAGTTATGTATTATAACACAACGTAATTAATATCGAGTTATGTAATATAACACAACGTAATTAATATCGAGTTATGTAATATAACACCACGTAATTAATATCGAGTTATGTAATAACACCACGTAAATACATATCGAGTTATGTAATATAACACCACGTAATTAATATCGAGTTATGTAATAACACCACGTAATTAATATCGAGTTATGTAATACAACACCACGTAAATACATATCGAGTTATGTAATATAACACCACGTAATTAATATCGAGTTGTGTAATAACACCACGTAATTAATATCGAGTTATGTAATACAACACCACGTAAATACATATCGAGTTATGTAATATAACACAACGTAATTAATATCGAGTTATGTAATAACACCACGTAATTAATATCGAGTTATGTAATAACACCACGTAATTAATATCGAGTTATGTAATAACACCACGTAATTAATATCGAGTTATGTAATAACACCACGTAAATACATATCGAGTTATGTTATATAACACAACGTAATTAATATCGAGTTATGTAATAACACCACGTAAATACATATCGAGTTATGTAATACAACAGCACGTAAATACATATCGAGTTATGTAATATAACACAACGTAATTAATATCGCGTTATGTAATATAACAGCACGTAAATACATATCGAGTTATGTAATATAACACCACGTTTTTAATCTCGAGTTCTGTTATAACACCACGTAAATACATATCGAGTTATGTAATATAACACCACGTAAATACATATCGAGTTATGTAATATAACACCACGTAATTAATATCTGTGTAATAATGACGTAAATTAATATGAGTTAATGTAATACAACACCACGTAAATACATATCGAGTTGTGTAATATAACAACGTAATTAATATGAATGTAATGTGTGTTAGTGTGTAAACGTAATTAATATGTGTGTGTTAATATAACACAACGTAATTAATATCGAGTTTGTGTAATTAATAATGTAATAACACCACGTAAGCGAGTTATGTAATGTGTGTGTTAATGTGTAAATAATGAAGCTGTGTAACACAACGTAATTTATCGAGTGTGTAATATAACACAACGTGTGTGTGTTAATGTGTAACATAATGTAATTGTGTGTGTTAGTGTGTAACATAACGAATGTGTGTGTTAATGTAATAAATAAATAAGCCGTGTGTGTTATGTGTAACACCACGTAATTAATATGTGTGTTTTAATGTGTAAATAATATCTGTGTGTGTTAATGTGTAAATAATGAAGTTGTGTGTAACACCACGTGTGTAATATGAAGCTGTGTGTGTTAATGTGTAAATACATATGAGCTGTGTGTGTTAACACAACGTAATTAATATCGAAGCTGTGTGTGATAACATGTGTAATA